CCCAACCTCTCAACCTCTATCTGACTCTCAGTCTCACTCTATTTCTCAACCCCCCTATGCTATTCAGACCCCTAACTTTCAGACCCATTATGCCCTTCCTACCCCCCTAGATGCCCAGACCCCATTCGCCTACCAGGCACTCCCAGGCACCCCCCTAGCACCCCCCCACTCACCCCCACAACCCCCACTTGCCCCCCAGACACCCCCCAGTTCCCCCCAGACCCCTGGTGAAAGGGGGAACTCTGACACCCGAGTTTCCAAGAAGAGTCTCAAGGTTTGGTACACCAATGCTGATGGGGTAGCCAATAAAGCAGAAGAGATAAAAGAAAGAGTTAGTGAGGCAGACCCAGACATAGTGGCAATAGTGGAAACTAAAATAAATGGCATGATCTCGGATGCAATCTTTCCAGAGGGGTACCAGGTGATAAGAAAAGAAAGGACACAGAGACAGGGAGGAGGAGTGGCACTACTAATAAAGCGGAAATGGAAGTTTGATGAGCTGGAAAATCCGGGTACCAATGAAAGCACAAGCTTCATACATGGAACTCTGACAGTGGATGGGAAGAAGATTGTAATCTTGATACTCTACAATCCCCCACCAAACAGTAGAAGGCCCAGGCAGGAGTACGAGGACAGCAACAAGACATGTATGGATGAACTGCAGAGGGCAGCAACTTTAGCGCATAGAATGAGAGCGAAGCTGCTGGTCATGGGGGACCTAAATCACGGAGAGATAGATTGGGAAACGAGGAATCCCCATGGCGGGGAGGAGACCTGGGGAGCGAAGCTGGTAGACGTTATTGACAGGAATTTCCTAACACAGCATGTGAAAGAAGATACTAGGGAAAGAGGAGGGGATACGCCCAGCCTATTAGATCTCATTATCACTCAGAATGTAGAAGACATCGAGCAGTTGGAACATGAAATACCACTAGGAGCTAGTGACCATTGTGTCCTAGCCTTTGACTACATGATGGAGCTTAAAATTGTGACCAAAGGACAAGAGGTCCGGGAAAGGAGACTTGATTACAGAAAAGGGGACTACAGAAGGATAAGGGACTACCTGGGAGAAGTGCAGTGGGAGGAAGAACTTAGAGGAAAAACAGTGCAAGGTATGATGAACCAAGTCATATTGAAATGCAAGGAGGCTGAAGATAGATTTATTCCAACAATAAAGGAAAAAAGCAGGAGGGAATATAATAACCCATGGTTTAATAGACAGTGTCAGGAAGCAAAGGTGAGAAGCAGGAGGGAGTGGAGGAAGTACAGAAGGCAAAGGACAGAGGACAACAGGATTAGATGTAACAGAGCTAGGAATGATTACATTAACATAAGACGAGTGTCGGAAAGAAATTATGAGAACGATATTGCAGTCAAAGCGAAAAAGCAACCAAAATTACTACATAGCCATATAAGAAGGAAGATGTCGGTAAATGACCAAGTGACAAGACTGAGGAAAACAGAAGGGGCATATACAGAAAGCGACAAGGAAATCTGCGAGGTACTGAATGCAAAATTCCATGGAGTGTTCACTACCGAGCCTGAGCAGCTCCCATTGTTAGAAGAGATTACCCAAGATGAAAGACTATCAGATATAGAGGTGACAGCAGAGGATGTAATGAAACAGTTGACAACACTGGATGCAAATAAAGCTGTTGGACCAGACAAAGTATCACCGTGGATACTTAAAGAGGCAGCGCAGGCTCTCAGCGTGCCTCTGGCAATGATCTTCAATGAGTCACTTATGTCGGGAGAATTGCCCAGTTGCTGGAAGGAGGCAAATGTCGTACCGATTTTCAAAAAGGGGGATAGGGAGGAGGCACTTAACTACAGACCCGTATCACTGACAAGCATCCCCTGCAAAATACTTGAAAGAATAATTAGGCTAAGACTTGTTGAGCACCTGGAGAGCATTGGGTTTGTAAACAAGCACCAACATGGGTTCTGGACAGGGAAATCATGCCTAACAAACCTTTTAGAATTCTATGATAAAGTAACAAGGATAAGGCAGGACAGAGAAGGCTGGGCAGACTGCATATTTCTTGACTGCCAAAAGGCCTTTGATACGGTACCGCACATGAGACTGCTATACAAACTTGAGAGGCAGGCAGGAGTAAGCGGAAAGGCCCTAGTATGGGTGAAGAACTACCTAACAGGAAGGAGCCAGAGGGTAATGGTAAGGGGCGAAAAGTCGGACTGGCGAACAGTAACAAGTGGAGTACCTCAAGGATCGGTGCTGGGACCAATCCTCTTTCTAATTTACGTAAATGATATGTTTACAGGAGTGGAATCATACATGTCGATGTTTGCAGATGACGCAAAATTAATGAGAAGAGTTGTGACAGACGAGGATTGTAGGATCCTCCAAGAGGACTTAAACAGGCTGCAGAGATGGTCAGAGAAATGGCTACTGGAGTTTAACACCAGTAAATGTAAAGTTATGGAAATGGGATCAGGTGACAGGAGACCAAAGGGACAGTACACAATGAAGGGGAACAGCCTACCTGTAACGATTCGAGAAAGAGACCTGGGAGTGGATGTGACACCTAATCTAACTCCTGAGGCACATATAAATAGGATAACGACAGCAGCGTACTCTACACTGGCGAAAATTAGAACTTCATTCAGAAACCTAAATGAGGAAGCTTTTAGGGCGCTTTACACTGCCTACGTGAGACCCGTCTTAGAGTATGCCGCGCCATCATGGAGCCCCCACCTGAAGAAACACATAAAGAAACTGGAGAAGGTTCAGAGGTTTGCGACGAGGCTTGTCCCAGAGCTACGAGGGATGGGATATGAAGAGCGGCTGAAGGAACTGAACCTTACGACACTAGAGAAAAGAAGGGAGAGAGGAGATATGATAGGGACATATAAAATACTCAGGGGAATTGACAAAGTGGAAATAGATCAAATGTTCACACGTAATAATAACAGAACGAGGGGACATGGGTGGAAACTGGAAACTCAGATGAGTCACAGAGATGTTAGGAAGTTTTCTTTTAGCGTGAGAGTAGTAGAAAAATGGAATGCACTTGGGGAACAGGTTGTGGAAGCAAATACTATTCATACTTTTAAAACTAGGTATGATAGGGAAATGGGACAGGAGTCATTGCTGTAAACAACCGATAGCTAGAAAGGCGGGATCCAAGAGTCAATGCTCGATCCTGCAAGCACATATAGGTGAGTACATATAGGTGAGTACACACACACACACACACACACACACACACACACACACACACACACACACTCTCACACACACACACTAGCACTCACACACACACACAGGCCACACACACACACACACACACACACACACACACACACACACACACACACACACACACACACACACACACACACACACACACACACACACACACACACATGACCGAACCTACCCAACCCTACCTAACCTAACCTAACCAATCTTTATAGGTTAGGTTAGGTTAGGTAGCCGAAAACGTTAGGTTAGGTTAGGTTAGGTAGGTTAGGTTGGCGAAAAAACATTAATTCATGAAAACTAGGCTTATTAGGCAAATCGGGCCTTGCATAGTAGGCTGAGAAGTGAGTTCTGGCTACTAGGTACGACATATATATATATATATATATACATATACATATATATATAAAGCAAAGCTTGAATGGTCCCTAAGCTGTAAATCATTTAACCTCTATGATCACATCAGGATGCGAACCTGCGAGGCCTGAGGTACCATAGCACATACACCACTACACCAGCTCTGGGAACTCTCACGCTTGGAAATCATTTTGGCGCAAGCTTGAATCCTCAGCCACAAAATCTTTAGCATTGTATTGAATTAATTCTGCTTTTGCATGTCCTTAACCTTGAAGAAATCTTGAAAGGTTGTTGTAGTTTAAGATTCGCTACTCAAAACGATAAGTTCCAGTAGCACGGGCTATGGTGAGCCCGTACTTGAAAGGTACACGCAGGAGGCAGGAGGGAAATGAGAAAAAAATCATCAGGTAGTTGCTGGGTGATAATCTGAGGACTCCATCTTGTCTCATGTTCTTCACATTCAAGATGACTTTGATTAGGAAAAAAAAACATCGTTTATTCTGTACGAGACTATCTGTTGGACTAGATTGTCTATCGGTACTGCCTGCTGGCCTGAAGATGCTCCCCTCTGGTGTGTAATGTTGGACTGGAGAAAGCTAGTGGGAGCTTCGTAAAACCCAAGTTTTTCATATGATGGTGTTTGAGGATAGCGAAATCATTCTTTATTTTATTGTTATATTTAATCTTTTGACAAGACTTGTCAGATATTCAACTTTTTCCATAATGGTCTCTTAATAATTCTTCTCTTTCAGTGTCTTTAAGGAGGTCTACGTAACCCTTAGCCCGTGCTAGAGCTATGTGAGTTGTGTCCTCACTGTACTGGTGGTGTGGTAGCCACTCCCTGAATAAACAACAGGTTTTGTTTTAATAACCTGGTGTCCCAATTAGCCTGCTGGGTGTCCCTTGCTTGCTGGGAGTGCTTGCTGGGAGTGTCCCTTGCTTGCTGGGAGTGTCCCTTGCTTGCTGGGAGTGTCCCTTGCTTGCTGGGAGTGTCCCTTGCTTGCTGGGAGTGTCCCTTGCTTGCTGGGAGTGTCCCTTGCTTGCTGGGAGTGTCCCTTGCTTGCTGGGAGTGTCCCTTGCTTGCTGGGAGTGTCCCTTGCCTGCTGGGAGTGTCCCTTGCTTGCTGGGAGTGTCCCTTACTTGCTGGGAATGTCCCTTGCTTGCTGGGAGTTAGACAGCTGCTACAGGCTGCTGCTTCCTGGGGATGTATAACAAAAAAACGAGGCATGGTCGAGGACCGGGCCGCGGGGACGCTAAGCCCCGAAATCATCTCAAGATAACCTCAAGATAACCTAACTGCTTCGCATATGTCACATACTGGAAGGTGTCTTATTGCGCGTCTTTTTCCAGAGAGTCCAAAGTATCTTCGGACCACCTGATTTAAACACTATAAGAATAGACAATTGCGCACTTCAATACGATGCTATCAGTAGGCTTTCGACACTTTCCCAGTCTTAACGACGTGGTTAATGGGAAGGAACAGTCTTCCAACAGCGTCTTCAAAGGTAGATCTCAACTCACATACTTCTGTTATTTGGATTTCTTGTACGTGAAGTGTTTCTTCCCCTCCCCAAACCATACCTCTCACACAGATGTTCCTGACAGCCTGCCTTTATACTGTAGGAGACAGGTTCGAAAGACTTTCTAAAAGTCGAGTTTTAGTACGAATTTGATGGCCAAAAAAAGCCTCCGTGTGTTTAGCCAAGGCTGTGTGTCACGCTACTCGATATCATCATATTAATAGGATCTTTTTCTCTCTCTCCTGACTCTTTCTGCACCTTTGATATAGTTCTCGTGGTGTATGTCAGGGGACTATATCAAATGTTTCTGCAACACTTGACAGTGCTAGGATTCTCTTTCAAATAATTTCAGCAAATTATTCCCAGAGATTTTCATAGAACTTGCAGTAGCAGCAGCAGCAACAACAGCAGCAGCAACAGGAGCAGCAGCAACAGCAGCAGCAGCAACAACAGCAGCAGCAACAGGAGCAGCAGCAACAGCAGCAGCAGCAACAGGAGCAGCAGCAACAGGAGCAGCAGCAACAGCAGCAGCAGCAGCAACAAGAACAATAGCAACAACAGAAGCAACAGCAGCAGCAACAGGAGCCACCGCCACACAGGACGGGCATAGAGCACAAAGTAAACAGCCACAAACGTGCAAAATTCAAAGTACTAACTTAACCAGAATCGAAGTACTAACTTAACCAGAATCGAAGTACTAACTTAACCATCCGTATCCCCTGCAGGGATACGTATGTGTGCTCACAGTAGCTCACAGTGCTCACAGTAACCAAATGATGAATAATGCGCTGTGTGCTCACTTTACTAGCTCAGTAAGCCCTTGAACGCACGCGAGATCCCCAAAACAAACTCACATGGGCTCACATGCATGCACATGCAGTTCCTTCGGCGTCGCATGCTCTTCCTGGGTTGCAAATGCGCTCCATCCGTTGCGCATGCTCACTCCTAGTTGCACATACAAGGCAAGTCTCGACAGCAGCGACCAAAACACCCTTCCCCCCGGTATGTAGGGTTCGAGCCTCTTGCCAAAAAAAAAATTATCTTCCAACGGTAGTCAAAGAGCTCACAAAGCCAAGAACCCAAGACCACAACTCTTAAATTCAAAGCATGAGAGATAATGGACGTCACCGCCGTCTACAGGTAGAGGCGACGGTGGTAGATTACGAGTAATGTAGCACTGAGCAATACCATTATTAAGAGTAATCTCTTTCCATTTGTCGCGGATGAGAGAAGATTTATCTGCCCCCCCTTCCCCATTCCCCATTCTCACGCGGTGTGCGCTACGGAGAATTTCTTGGCCCCTTCGTGGAGGCACCACAGACGCCTTGGCCCTCTATGTCGTGTAGTGCAGGACAATCTTGGCACTATAGGTGGCCCTGGCACTATTGGAGTCCCTCCTACGGACTTCAGTAGGATCTAAAACTCTGTGCACTAGGATAACGTCATTGTGTGCGAGCTGGTTATGTGTGTAAACTATAGTCTTTGAAAATGTAATAAGAAGCATTACGAAAAGCGTTCAGGCGTCAGACTAAAAATAAAGAATGAATTTTGGAGTTAATTGTTCTATTACCCTCGACAGTGGAGAAAAATGTAAGAAATATTGAGAAGATTCGTGTTAGAATTATTAATCTTACCCTTTCGGTCATGTTCAACAACATATATATATATATATATATATATATATATATATATATATATATATATATATATATATATATATATATATATATATATATATATATATATATATATATATATATATATATATATATATATATATATATATATATATATATTTATATATAAAACACTAGACACTGTATCTCTTTATCCTGGGTTAGGTTGGGCTGGAGCATACTCCTATCAGGTTTTAGATTCTACTCGTTTAACGCAGATGTTTTTCGCCTTTCTGCAAGTTAACTTTTGTGCCATTGGTGTGTGTGTGTGTGTGTGTGTGTGTGTGTGTGTGTGTGTGTGTGTGTGTGTGTGTGTGTGTGTGTGATAGGGACTCTTGACACCAGAACATTTGCTACCCAAGTCCCTGGTAGAAAATATTCTGCTGGTGTGTTTCTGTGTTGTAATCGTGCCGAGCTTGTCAAGTTCACAAAGCTGTCTTCAACTCTCCAAAAAAAATATCAAATCGGAGGTGACAGGGCTCTGTAGCCGAATAGAAGGTAGAAATTTCTTTTCCTAGCTCTTCCATCTTCTAAGAACAAAAAAAAAACTCAATTACCCTCAACACCATCCACTTTTTCCTCCTCACACGACGAAAAACATTGTTTTTCAAAGGAGGAAATAGTTTTGTTTAAATTCACATATTTGTGTTATATAAAACCTAACCTAACCTAACCTAACCTAACCTAACCTAACCTAACCTAACCTAACCTAACTTAACCTAACCTAACCTAACCTAACTTAACCCAACCAGACCCCCCAAACCAATCCAACCTAATCAAACCTTACATAATCTATTACTTACGATTCTTCGCGGCGGGGATCGTATTCCAGGGACTTGCCCGAAACGTTACGCGTACTAGTGGCTGTACAAGAATGTAACAACTCTTGTATATATCTAAAAAAAAAACAGCTAAATTTCACAATATAAACAGTTTATAACAATCAGAAAACATGCTATGGGAAATTCGAGTCCTCCAATAGCATCGCTGCCAGCTTCATAAAAATACAAGAGGGTATCGAACCCCTGGTACAACTGATTCGCGAAGGAATGATCATAGACAACCCCATTGTTTATGGGAGTTGTTTATGGGGGTTGTTTATGGGGGTTGTTGTCCTCCTGCACCGTCACTAGAAACCTTTACCCCATACTGCAACATTTTGGCTACGAAAATGTGCTAGTTCTGACGAGACATACGGAGACCTGGTGTGTGTGCAAGGACGAAGCTTGAGCTCCTGGAGTGTGTGCAACCGAGAATTCTTGGCTCCTCGAGCAGGCATCTGATGACCTGAGACAAGATGAGTCTGCTACGAGAAAAGGTTTGGCCATTAGTATGTGCCACAAGCCTAACAGTAATTATAGTGTCCATCTGCGCAAGCTTCAGCCAAGAACAACACCGTTGACGTCATATCATGGCGAGTGGGGGAGGGAGAGAGAGAGAGAGAGAAGAGAGAGAGAAGAGAGTGAGAGCGTGAGAGAGAGAATAGAGTGACAGAGAAGAGATAGAAAGGGGATAAGAGAGAGAGAAAGAGAGAGAGAAGAGGTGACAGAGAAGAGAGAGAGCGAAGCGAGAGAGAAGAACGTACTCTAAAGGTTGTCTTCAATGGAGCAGAAATCTCTAGCCTTCACCAAATCTGGAGGGAACGGTTTAAACATCAAAGCCTGCAACACCGTCGGGACGCTTGGTCTTACTGGTGTGTACAAGGCCAACATCTTCAAAGTTCCGCACCTGGCCCAACTCCGTGGACTACCAGTAGTTGCCACCCGTAGCACTAGGCTCTCAACCTTCAACAGTCTCATGCTGGAAGTGCCTTTCTCAAGAACATCACTCCATCAGCGATCATTCACTCCGAGGCTGACTCGCATCAGGAACTTGTTCGCTCAACAGGTTGATACACGGGAGATCAGGTCAACTGATCACATGAAGGCTCTGGCACACAGTTGGCTACAGGCTCATCCTGTTCCTTATATGATTGTTACCTAATGTTGTTAATGAATAAAGGCTATTCCTACTGATGCATATAACAGGCTCATGAAATAAATGGACCTCTAGGAGTAGGTTTCAACTGAGCTGAGGAAGGATTACAGCTCTTGCTTGCAGTTTCACCAGGTTCCTTATATGATAGTTCCCTACGTGATAGTTTCAAAGTACATTCTCATGAAATAAATGAGTTTCTAGGAGCAGGCTTCAGATGAGCTGAAGTAGGATAACAGCTCTTGCTTGCAGTTTCACTAGGTACATCCGTGACATCCTTTATGAACCCTAGTCTTAGTTAAACAAAGAGACAGAGAGAGAGAGAGAGAGAGAGAGAGAGAGAGAGAGAGAGAGAGAGAGAGAGAGAGAGAGAGAGAGGATATACAGCTCTTTTCTCACTCTCTGAATGACGCCCTCTAATTCTAAACTTCAGTGACTAAGAGTTTAATGCAGGAAGAAAACAGTAGCGAGGTTCCCCGGTGATGGACACCTTGACGTGTCCTCTGGTCCTGCGAAAACACACCACCACCTCTGTCAGCTGTGGCAGGCGGCCTCCAGTAAATACACCCAGATGTTTACACATGGGTGTGACCAGCAGTGTGGACACACCTCGTGACCCCGGGGCCAGGAGAGTAGATGTCGACACCACGTGGCCCAAGCCCTAGGCCAGGAGACTCTGGCACTCCTAGAGTGCCAGAGTCTTTTTTTAGACTCTGATGCCTAAAGTCACAGAATATCACTCCACGACCATTGGGCTTAAGGTACTCAGTGGCTAGATTAATACCCAATAGCTCAGTCTGTGTCGTGCTTGCCCAGTTGTTCAGTCTCTGTGTACCAGACATGATCATTTCATTCCCTTTATATACTGCACATGCACAACCTGTTCTACCAGTGCCTAACTGCACAGAGCCATCAGTAAAGGCATAGAATTCAGTTGGTTTGAGATTTTGAAGATGACTGTCAATAGCTTCTAATGTTAAACATATCGTAGTTTCAGTGTTATACATTTATTTTACACTGAATGGGGGTATAATGTAAAGAGACCTGCACATCTTTCCAAGGGGGAATATAGTGAACAGTTTTGTCAGGATTACGAGACACACATTCAGTTTCAGAAGATTATAGGCACAAGAACTGAGCCACACTGTAAGGACCTTTTTGCGGTGTAGCGAGGGAGTAGTCAGAATTGTTGAGAATGGATCTAAATTTAATTTGAATAGAGCTGAGGGGACTATTATTTTTAGTTCCTTTCTAATGTTATCAATTCTGACAGTTCTAGGACAACCCAGGATGATGCGCATGGCATCATTCTGTACTACATCTAGGCCAAGGCCA